CTAGCAGTTCTGTTGTGTTTGTGTCGCAAGTTCAGTGACGCAGGTAGTAACGATTCTCTCCAGCCAATCCGTGATCAGCAGAGTTTACACGTCATGTTTTGGTTACGGTACGGTTCACTTGGAACCTCAACCGAGGTGGTACTAAAAAAAGTACCAGGTACTGTATCCAGTGGAAAACCCCCCAAAAGTGAACCGTACCATGCCGTACCATGCAGTGGAAAAGCGCCATGAGACCCGGGGATACTGCCGCGCGAGGTCGAGGTCTTGTTTTCCCAGCGCGCACACACCTCTCTCTGCGTCTGATCTGTTCAGCGAGCGGCAGCGAGGAGCAGTGCTTTCGGTTAAAATAGATATTCTGTCGCTTCTAACTCTATTTTACAAGCAAATATAGCCGAAATCACAGCACAGCCATTGTCTTTATCTTATGTGTATTTGATTTCATTAGACGACGTCTCGATTATAAACAGAACTGACAACAGAAACAGTGAAATATATCAATGAAAACAGTTCTGTTGAGAATTTGGCTGCATTAAAATACAGTTTGTGAGCACAGAGAGGCAAGACAATACAACGCATTTACGTCATGAATATGCTAATTGGCGTATGACGTCATTTAGCGACATTTCAAGCAGGCTTTAGCTACTTTCCATTGAAAGAAGTTGGCAACACTGTATACACAGAGAGAGAGAGAGAGAGGGCTGACTGCAGAAATGAGGGTGTGCAATTACCTGGGTCTGTCTTTCTTCAGGTCAAGTCATATAATCATGAAAAAACATCAGTTTGCCATCAGCTGTCAAAAGATGAAAGTGTTTTCTTTGTCGTAGTATCCTTTCAGCACTTAAGTGGCATTGAATCAATGGCATTGATCTCTATGAAGTGAAACATCAGCTTCAGTGTTTACCCATGTGATGCTCTGATTGTCGATTGAACCTTGTAAAATGGCACTCAAAGTTAAATTAATTTCAACACCTTGTTTAATTCATGAATGAATCAGTTGTTAAGTGTATCCGTTGAATGAATGGTTTTTAATGATGACTCCCTTGTAAAGTCAATCCATTGCCACCACCTGCTGGCGTAACAATGACTGACAGCCCAGCGCTGATACTGAAACATCAGTATATAGTCAGTGGCATAAAATGGTCTTAAAATGACAATATTGTTTCTCGCAATTATTACTGGGGTGGTATATCGCCAAATAAAAAAAATAGTTATCGAGACCAGCCTATGGACAGGTGGCTTAAAAAACTTGATGGGCCATCTACCAGTGGACCTGACACAAGAGAAAAGCTAAGAAAAATGGACAACACAAAAACATATCAATATTAAGGGGGGGGGTGGGGTCCATGAGGATATTTTGAGATATTATGGGGGTCCAGTACTCAAAAAAGGGCTGCCCCACACATATGTACGCAACCCATGCAACGATAATGGCGGAATCTGCTGTATTATTCTCTGCTGTATTAAACATATTATCTTACTTTTCGGACACACTTTGGGAGCTGACACTTGAAACAGACAGTGGAGGAGGTTTAGACTCTCCAGGCTTATAGGGTGTGGAAATTAATGTGTTTTTATCATAGCTGAAGGGAACGACAATACAATTGCAGATGAACAAACAAGCGAACATGACACACAAGCATATTCAAGCAAAAGCCAGCATATATTAGTTCTGTGAAACAAAGCAAAACCAATGTTACTCAACTATCGAGAAGAAACAAAGCAACCTCAGTGTCCGATCGCAGGCCTTCCCGCTCCTTGAGTTGTCTCCAGCGCTGGAAAACTGATCCGATATTTACACGGGTCCTACTTCTTGCATTATCGTAAGCCTTCTTTTGTTCCGCAGACGTTTTCCTCTTTTATTTTTTATCTGCCATCTCTATCTTTCTGTCGTCGCTCGGCTCGGCTAATGTCCGTCCTGTGCACTGAGTGCTCTCTCCTCCCCATCATGAGTAGACACGCCCCTTACTGCTGATTGGTTATTGGTTTGTTTTGGTACTCAGCCCGACTCAGTTTTCTAAAGCATTTTTTTAAAAATACATACCCCACCTTTAATAGTATCAATCTTGGAAGAATGGGATCTGAGAAAATGTCTTGCTTCCTCTGGGGAGTGCAGCATCTTAGGTTCCCCTTGTTTCAAAATGAGCTTCATCGTTGCAGGATAAAGAAGAAAATTCTGGATACCAGCTTCCCTCATTTCCTTCTGAATTGGTGCAAATGCACTACTTCTTTTTACAGTCATGGGAGAAAAGTTTGGAAAGAAGGTCAGCGTTGCTCCGTCACTTGTTTTCACTAGGTCATGAAGTCTGGCATCCCACAGAACGAGCTCCCTGTCTGTGTACCGCAAAAGTTTAAAGAGAAAAAGACATGGTTTAACGTGATCTGATGAGGCCTTTGTATAGATGTGATGTGCTCGCTCCACTTCAATCTCTCTACCTGCCAGAGAAGGGAGTCACAACGGTAGCAATCTTAAAAAAAAAAAAACACATAAAAATTCCATCAGTGAGGGAACTTTCTTTTGTTCCCTCATCTCACCTATAAGAAAATCGAGTTTAGAGCATAGCGACTGGACAACTGAGATCTGAGAGGCAAACTCACTTCGCATCGCTGTAAGTTTGAATCTTAAAATGCCCTCAAAGCTTGCTACAGCGATCGGCATTTTGTCATCCATATCACTCGTGGTTGTTGTCTTGGAATTTTTTCTTAATCGGAGAAGATGACAGTGATAAATCCTGCAATTTCCAATTGTGTGCCATCTGGTAAAGCAAAATTATCGAAGAAAACTTCAAATAAAACCAAAAGAACGGCAAAAAGGGGCCAGGTATCCAGAGCTCTACTCGAGTGTGACTAGGTCCATGAGCACATCATGTGATTCCTCAAAATTAAATTTTTTTTACTAACCATGTATAAACGTTGTTTTCTCGAAAACACAAACATGTACATTCATGCTGCTCACATATTATTGTAGCCCAGTTAGTGCTGAATACAGTGTAATCAGACTTTAGACATGAATATGTTTTTAAGATACTGAAAAAAGCACAAATGTCAGGGCATTTCAAAACTTCTCCAGGGCCCCAAAACCCCCTCAGACCCCAGAGGGTTAAATATGGATTAAATATGTCAATCAAAGTATTGACATAAAGTAAATAAACCCATGTGTTAGAAGACTCAAAATGTTCCCATTCAAAATAATCCACTTTTTTATTGTTTTTGTCATTTATATATCGTTTTATCGTATTTTATTTTATGGCATAAATTACACTGTACTGTACTGTGCTGTACAGTAAAAAGCACTGCCGTCACTAATATATTACTGTAACAGTAGTCAAATAGCTGGAGGTCTTAAGCATGTATATGATAAATAATTAGTTGAGATTAAATGTTAAAATGTTATATTATCATAACCAGTAATATTTTTATGTTCATTTAAAAATTAAATTTTCACAATTCCAGCCTTACAATGGTGTTTGAGAGGAACTAAAACTACAGTCCTCTAAAACTACATTTCGACAGAGAAAACCTTTTTTGAGCCTTACAATGGTTCAAATCTTCAACTTGCACCACCTGGTGGTGATTTCGCAAATGAGTTTCACATGGGACTGAGTTGAATTTACCTTCACAACCTTTAATTCTAAGAAGCATGCCTGCAGGGTGCAGTGTGTCCACACTTGATGAATTGTATGCTACTGTGTAGCATGCACATTCTTAAAGGCCAGATCTGTATTTTATTTTTTATTTTATTTTTTTGAAGAAGACAAATTTGAATTTATGAGTATTTTATGAGCTTTGTGGTTCAGGGTTAAGTATACTGTATTAATGTGAGTCTTTGGTATGTCATTGCATTAACATGCTTTCTTTGAAAATGCTTTTATTAAAGGGGTCATATGATGCGATTTCAATTTTTCCTTTCTCTTTGAAGTGTTACAAGCTCTTGGTACATAAAGAAGATCTGTAAAGTTAGAGCTGATCCGTGCTGGTCGCTGAGGAAATGCATCAACTTCGCGCTGTGGATCGCCGGATCGGCTTTCACTGTTGACAAAGCGGAGTCTAGCCCGGGGTCGTCACATGTGGTTGCCGCAAGCCCGCTGGCCTCCGCTCACTCTAGCCCGGCCGCCGCTCACTCTCACCTGGCCCCTCCGCTCACTCTAAGCCGCCGGCCTGAAAGTGAAACTACTTTGTTTGGCCTTCCAAAAGAGGACACGACTAGAAATCAGTGGTTAAGTTGTATTTACAACACTGTTCCAGAACAGGTCAACCCAAATATTCAGATGTGTGCAGATGTGTGTTTCCTGATCCAGGTAGAGTAGACTACAATGCCAGCTGTTCTGACTCACAGACTGTAAATACGTTTTTTATATTAAAGAATTTGCCACTGACGATTCAAACGCGAGTTTTGAGCAGTGTAGAGTAGCGCTTGTTGTTTGTCATATATCCGATCACAAATGCAGACATGGTTTTATGTTTACGCGGCACGATGCAACACATAAAAAGACAGTATATGTCATTATAATCCGTCCCCACTGGATGCAAGAAATGCCTCGTTTATAATGGGTTTTAATGTTTTTGTCTCGTCGCTCCGGCCTGACAGGGCATCACAGTATGGTAAGGGGTGTAACATTTCCATCACACGCTTGAGGTATTTGGCCAATCACAACACACTGGATAGCTGGCCAATCAGAGCACACCTCGCTTTTCAGACCGATGAGCTTTGTAAAAATCGACGCGTTTCAGAAAGGCGGGGTTAGAGGAGAAACAATAATGTACAGTATGTGGAAAATAATGTGTTTTTTGAACCTTAAACCGCATAAACATTTCATTACACCAAATACACAAAATAATGTTCTTTTTAGCAACATCATATGACCCCTTTAAAGTGTTCTTCAATTCAAAACCTCAGTTTAATGATATTAAAGCATAATGTTTCCTGAGTTCTGTTCATGTTTGCTCTTTGTTGACATTGACATTCAGAACATTGTCTTGTTCTCTGCTTTAATGGCTTTCAGCAAAAAAATATGATTGTCTACGTGGAGAGGAAAGTCATTGACGATCCAGCCATGGCTAATGAGAGCTTTGTCTCCATCAAGAAGAACATTTGCACTTTTAGAGAAGGTGAGGCATTATCCAAAAAGCACTTTATTATACCTCATGTAGTTTGTGTGGTTGTGTGTGTATTAGGGATGTAACGATATTATCAATATTGTGGTATCGCGATAGCAAAACTGTCTCAAAATGATTGTGGTCACATGACAATATGAAACGAGGCCTTCCGGGCAAAAAGTGTAGATTTTTTAAATATACTTAAACTTTTTATTCTAACATAAAAGGTCTTTAAAGTTGTGTTTTGGGCCATTATGCTTTGGCACAGTATCTGTCAAACGAGCTAAAACCGAAAGCACAATATGGCTTAATTCCTTCATCAAGTCTGTTTTCGCTGTTTTCGTTTTCAAAGCACTTCGTTCACACGATCAGCTTGTGATCCAGTGTTTTCCATGCCTCAGAACGGCTCAGTTCACAGTGAATGCAGTGAACTCGTTTATTGCATGTGCTGTGAGTTTAGCGCATGTTTGGGAATGCAACGGCCATCAGTTATGCTTTATTTTCACTTTTGCATAATTCCCAACATTTTAATGGGCAAATGATTCCAGCATTTCACTAGATTTGTAGTGAGACACATTTTTGTAAGCCAGTTTTCACTGAAGCTGGAGTTTTCTGTCAAAATAAAAGCTGTCTTAAATAAAAGTGCAGTATGAATTGCTAACAGCTAGCTGTTTAAATGGGTTACGTTACTGAAGTCCAAATTCAAAATATCTCTTTCAAGTGTAGAAATTAGGAAATAAGTATTGTAATTTCCCTACTGTAGTGTAAAGCAAAAATAATATACCTATGAAATATTCATTTAAATTTATTTTACAGTGCAACTGTTTTACAATATATGGCTATTACTGTCATAGGAATAACAATAATATACAATTATTATTATTATTATTATATTCAAATTTGTTTCACTTCTAAAACACCAGTGTGAATGTAATTTAGACTGAGACAGTATAACAGATAAAACGAGGGTTGAGTACTCTTTAAAGTTCAGGTACAAGTCAATTCACTGACTTAAAGGGTTAGTTCACCCAAAAATAAAAATTAGCCCATAAATTACTCACCCTCAAGTCATCCTAGGTGTATATGACTTTCTTCTTTCAGACGAATCCAGTCGAAGTTATATTAAAAATT